ACCCGAAACCAATTTATCCGATTCTGTTGGTTTTTAAATGTTTTATATAAGGGAAAAAAATCAGAAATACCCTACATATAAATAAAATTTCATTTTCTACTACTGTACTAAAATAAATGTTGGGATTACTATATTACTAAAATAAATTCCCACTTTTACTATAATCCAAACTTTCCCTATTTTAACCCGTAATTAAAACCACAATTAGATACAGAATAGAAAACGGAATTAATTAATTGAGAATGCTGAAATCCTGGGAATTCAAATTCAAACCATTAAAATGCTACTGTAACAAGAGCAAGAATGGTGGAAGTGACGAATCTAAACTTGTATCTCAGTTAAATTCTCCGCTGGTATAGTTTCATCGACTGATAAATTTTTATTGCTTACTTTTGTAGATTGATTATCATATGAAGTCAATTGAACAATCAAATTATGTAACGGGTAATATTACATTGTATTGTCCTTCTTCTGTGTAATCTTACCAAATATGTTCCGTCTTTTGATTTGACTTCATAATTTGTTTGATTCAAATGAATGGGATTTCAGAAAATTACATAATTTTTTTCACACATTCCAGATTATGAATGATACACATATTAATTTAATCACATTACGCTTATCATAATTTAGTTCTTTCCACTTTTTTCTTTTTTACAGATGTGAAATTCATGAACGTTTTCATAACGTGCAATGCGATGACGTTTGTTATTCTATTACCAATTGGATGCAAATAGGGATCTAGTTGACATGATAACCGCTGAGATGCAAGTCGATAAAATGAGGTCTTGCTTGAAGATAGATTATGATGTAGGTGAAAACATGGCTACCCCTAAGTATCACAAATGACAATCCACTAATGTTCTATATGGAGCTAAAGAAGTGTAATGCTAGTGATATATTGAACCAAAATGTATATGAATTCGATGAAGTACAGTGTCCAAGTTTAGCAGTTTGTCCTCAAATGGAACCGGTTGAAGAAGACTTAGGGAAGAATAGCGTTGAGATTATGAAACCTAGTGTTGAAGTTGTTGCTGAAAATAAGATATTTAGGGACAAGAAGTTGATGAAGAGTGTTGTTGCATTATATGCTATTTGAAAGAACTTCCAATTCGAGGTGTAGAAGCCCAACAAACGTTAGTACATTTTGATTTGTGGAACTCTAGTGGACGCATAGTTTTCTTACAAATGCTTTATCTCCTGCTGTTGACACATATTTAGTACAGTATAGAATGTGGGTTCGTGAATATGATAAGTTTGATGTTCCCTATTCATGTAACTTGTTGCCAATATCTCCCAAGTCGTTTGATTATGTTTATAGAATCGTTTGGAATAAAATTCAAGTTAAGTTTGCTTGGGAATGCAACGGATGTCAGCTCTATCAGTAATTCCATGTACAACAGTAAGCTCTGTCAGGAAAGCCATGGATTTTGGCAATGTTGATAGGTTATTTACAATACAGCATTAGCTTAACTATAGATGAACAAAGTCACTAGACAAAATATTGATTCTAGAGATATGTATAAAATATAATTGGATGATTATTAGTGTTTATTATTTAGCTTTGCTAATTTTGAAATGTAAATGTGCATATTATGAACAGATGACATTGCTTTGTCAATATAAAACATTTCATAGTTAGGAACGTTTAGCTTTTTGGGTAGGTATAATTATCAACTGTAGATTAATTTATTAAAGACAGCAACTCAATGTCTGATGTGTATTAGAAAAGAAGTCTACAGTTAACAAAACATTGTTGAGCCATGTGAAATGAATGTCATAGATTGGAGATGAATGTAGAAAGATAGATTAAAAGT